TATGAGAAGATTCATTTACCGTGTTATCATTGTGGTCGAGCGGATCATGATGTGAAGGAATGTCCTGATAATGTTGCTCAAGGGATCAAGGATCAGACGGTGAATAAAATTGAAGCTGTTACAATGGAATTTAAAAAAGACGAGGTTCAAGCTAAGCCTATGGTGAACAAATTAGAATATGGCCCTTGGATACATGTCCACTTTAAAAATAGAAGATTCCTTAGAGGGGGAGGTGGTGATAAAGAAAAGAATGATAATAACGGGAGCAGGCTTGAAAACAGGGGAGGTGTGAACCATGGAACTACTACCCAGAAGCAGATTCTAAGTGACAAGGAGAATACAGGCGTAGTGGAGAAGATCTTGGGTCTTGAAACAACTACAGGAAAAGTAAAAACTGCTGAAGACATTCGGTCAGGTATTTCTCTAAACAACAAATTTGGTGTGTTGATTGAAGATAGTGAAGTGGACCTCATGGGAGACCCAAAAGAATTTGGTGAATCACATAACAGGGCCCTGGAAACTGTTGATGTTTTAAGTAATGTAACATCGTGTTCTAGTGGGCCTACTAAAGTTAAACTTGCTAAAGAGCTTAAATCTTTGGGGCAATTGGATTCAGAGTTTAAGGAAAAGAAGAGAGATGGAAGACTTAATTCCATGAGTGGGGTGGGATCCCCTACACTAGCTTAATGTCTTCGTTATTATTCTGGAACTGCAGAGGGGCTAGGAAGAAAGAAGCCGCTCTGTATTTGAAAGAGGTTGTTAGAGATCATAAAATTTTCTTCATTGGGCTCATGGAGACAAAGTTGACAAATATTGACAGGAAGGATGTAGATGGCCTTATTGGAAAGGACTGGGACTATTTCCATTTTCTTGCTAATGGTCTTTCAGGTGGTATCCTTGTGCTTTGGAATATGAAGGTTGTGACTTTTATGATCATTGAGTCCTCTTCCCAAATGATAGTTGGAGATCTCTCTATCCCCAACTTGGGATTGTGGAAGGTTTCTACTGTGTATGGAAGTAGATGTTGTAAGGAGAGGGACCTTCTGTGGAGCTAGCTTGGTTGTTGTATGGATAGTTCTACCCCCTCTATCATTGGTGGGGATTTCAATTGTGTCTTGAAAAAAGAAGAGAAGAGAGGTGGTAAGAGGTTTCTTTTTTCTAAATGACCTAAAGATATGAAGTATTTTATGACAAACTTTGTTTTCCATGATGTGGGGAGTATTGGACCAAGATTCACTTGGTGCAATAACAAAGATGGAGCCTCTAGGATTTGGGAGAGGCTGGATAGGTGTATTTTGAATTCGGCTGCACTCCAAAAGCTTCCTATTGCTGCCACTAGGCATCTTGCTACGGTGGCATCGGATCATAGTCCTATTGCCTTCAAGATGGATGATAAAAGGTGAGTATCAAATCAAAGATAATCAAATTTGAGGACACTTGGAGATCTTATACAGCATCAAGAAGTATTATGTATCATGCTTGGAAGAAAGATGATTTTGGTGATGAAGGTATGGTGCTTCAAAGGAAAATTAGTAGAACTTTGAAAGCCCTTTTTTTCTGGAGTAAAAACAAGTGTAAAGACTTGAATATGCTAAAAGAAGATCTTAAAAAGGAGATTTTGGATCTCCAACACAAAGAAGCCATGGGCATTGATTGGTCAGCTCAAGATCTCATCTTACTTAAAAGTAAAATTCATTCTCTTACTGCAACTTTGAAAAGATTGTCCACATGGTGGAATCAAAGAGCAAAAGCAAGATGGCATGAGGATGGAGACCTAAATTAAAAAATGTTTCACAATTTTGCTACAGCAAGAAGAAATGGCAATAGAGTAAATCAAATCAAAGATGTGTATAATAAGATGCAGGTGGAAGATGATGAAATTGAGAAAGTATTCATTCAACACTTTGAAGCAAAATGGAAATCCAGAGATTGTGAATTAGCGGGTTGGCCGGAGATTTGTGAAAACCAGAAGCTGACAGCTGAAGATGTTGTTGTTCTTAATGCTGATTTCTCGGTGAGTGAGCTACAACATTCGGTTTTCCAGCAGGGGAATAATAGATCACCAGGTATGGATGGTCTCACCACTTCATTTTACAAGTGCTATTGGATATTGTTTGGAAAGATCTATGGAATGCTATTAATTGCTTTTTAATTTCTGGGCATATGAGAAAATATTGGAAAGATACCTTAATTGTGTTGATTGCTAAGGTGAAGTCTATGCCAGACTAACTATAAGATTGCAGCTTCAATGCTAGTGAGCAGGTTGAAGAGATGTATTCCCAAATTGATTACTGAAAAACAAATGGCCTTCTTCCTAGGTAGATCAATTTCAGAACATTGTCTTTTAGCTCAATAGATTTTTCACAAGTTCAAGATATCCAAATACAGAAAATGTTTAGTGGCCTTGAAGCTGGACAAGGAGCAAGCATATGATTGCATGGGATGGCCAACTCTTGGTGAAATTCTTATTTGGTATGGCTTCCCTTCTATGATGCTAACCTTATTTTGGAATGTATTGTAGATGTGAGATTTTCCATTATTAATAATGGAAAGAATTCCAAGTGGATCAATTCTTGTAGTCAATTTCGGCAAGGACGTCCACTCTCCCCTTACCTTTATATCATGTGCTCTCAACTGACGTCCAACTCTTTAGAGCAAAGGGGTCAAAGTCTTGGCATTCAACTCTCCCCTAATGGACCGAGGATTACTCACTTTATGTATGCAGATGATGTACTTATCTTCTCTCATGCTTCCAAGATGTTAGCAAAGGATTTGAAGGCTATTGTTGAAGACTTTTGTAAGTGGACAGGGCAAAGAATTAATGTCAACAAGTCACAGATTATTTTTGGCAAGTGTGTCAGCTACCCAATGAAGAATAAGCTTGCCAAAGTTTTTGGCTTCAAAGTGGTTAAGGAGCTGAACTACCTTGGGATAAAAACTTCTCTTAATAGGTTGAGGGTGGCTGACTTTCAAGATCTTCTAATCAATGCTATGGATAGACTTAATGCTTGGGGTAAGAAGTCTATTTCTATGGGTGGTAAGATCACTCTCATTACAAGTTCACTTTTAACTATGTCGAACGTCTTAGTTACACACTCTTTGATCCCAAAAAGTGTGCTATATGCCTTGGAAAAATGTTGTAGAAGCTTCATTTGGCATAAATCTGATGGCAGCCATATTATTCATTATGTGGCTTGGGAGGAGTTATGCAAACCGAGAAGAATGGGTGGGCTAGGCTTGCAGTCCCCTGTTATGAAGGCTGGCTCTTTGAGATCGAAGTTAGCTTGTAATTTCATACAGAAGCCGGATACCTTATTCCACATATCCATCAAAGCTAAATATTGGAAGGATGTTCTGAATGGCACACATAAGAAAAATACTTCTAAGGCTTGGCAGATCTTATTAGATGGAGGTAGACACCTTAGAGGTATTACCAGATGGAGATTTGGCAATGGTGGGGAGATTAATGTCCTGAATGATATATGGATACTAGATAGATGTATAAACCGTTGGCCCACTCTAGTTGATTGTGACTCTTTGGAGGGGATGTGTGTCCAGCAGCTATTACTGGACGACTGTCATTGGAATTGTTCACTACTTCAGAATGTTTTTCATCCAGATTTCATTGTGCTGATTAATCAAATTCTGGTTGATCCCATTGTAGAGGATCGGTTGGAGCTGCAGAAATTATGCTCGGGTAAGACTATCTCTGCCTTGTCTTTTGATCATGTGTTGAAGTGTAGATCCAATTCAAGTGAAGATGAGTATTGTAAATGGATTCACAAACTCAATCTTAGCAACAAAGTGGAGATGTTTTGGTGGAGGCTTGGAAATTTTGCTATCCCCACCAACCTTTTTCTCAGGAACTGCAGAATTTCAGTGATAGACACCTGTGCTAGAGGTTGTTTAGAGGTGGAAAGCTATGAACATATTATGGTTCAATGTAAGTATCTGATTAAAATTGTTATGCAGTTGATTGAGTGGGGTATTCACATTCCCGTATTTCATTCTTTGGATCAAAGCTTAAGGGAATTAAGGACTTTATCCGCACGTCATATTGGCATTGTAAAAATTTACTGCACCATTGTCTACTACTCTTGGAGAAATAGAAATGAAGTTAAGCATGGTAACGCTGCTCTACCGTGTTATTTGGTTACAGCTAATGCTCTTTCAGTAGCTATCACTAATTCCAATCCATATCTTTCCAACTGGGGTACTAATCTCCTTAGGAAGTCTCATGACACTTGGTGCCCTCCACCGAAAGAATGGTTGAAAATTAATGTTGATGCTTCCTTACTTTCTTCTGGGATGGCTTGTATCGGTGGTGTCTTCAGGGATTATAGAGGTAGATTCATTCTTGCTTTTGGGAAGAACATGGTCCATTGGGATATTGCTCAGCTTGAGCTGCAAGCGGCTTTCTCAGTAAGAGACTATGTTAGAAGCTGGATGCTTGAATACAAAGGCGTTATTGTGGAAAGTGATAACATCAATGTTATTACTTACATTCAGAATACTTTAAAGACGAATAAGTTCCTTATGGAATACAATTCGGCCATGGATTCCTTCTTCCTGAACGAATTCAATATGGTTCTTTTTTTACATGCTTATAGAAATTGTAATAAAGTAGCTAATTTGTGTGCTACTTTGGCATTAGATAGTTGCTTTTTCTTTGATAGCTTTTCTTTTGATGACATCTCTCCCTTGTTAGCCAAGCTAATCAAGGAAGAGTGTCATCCTTTTGACAATTGTATCTAGTTTCTTTGTTACCTAATGCATATTGCAATTCTTCAAAAAAAAAAAAAATTAGTAAAAAAAAAAAAAAAAAAAAAAAATACTCCAACCAAAATCATTAAGGAAAAACCCATAAGGAAAAACAACCTGAAAAGCCTCCAACCCACAATCCAAACAAGAATAAACCAGCAAAATCAACCCACCAAACCAAAGCAAAATAATAGAGCTACACCGAGGGTCAGAATCCAAAAATAGCAAAAAAAACCCAATTAATTTTTAACATATGGAAGAGAAATTTTGTCAAGTCTAATAAGCCCACTCAGAGGCATAGGATAATTAGGCTTCACAAAATCATTGGAACCATAAATATGAGCACCAAATAGAGCAAGCCACCTAGCACTGGCATTACCATCTTTGAGCACATGAGAATAATCAATGTGTATAGAAACCATTAACTGCTTGATAGCACGAGCAATATAAAAAACCTCAGGGTCACAAGGAACATCCACACTATTAAGTAAACAATGAATATTCATGAAACACTTAGCCTCAATGGTAATATTGGTAATACCCAGAGAAAGATAACTATTTAACCCATAAAGAATAGAGTTCAAAATAGCCAAACGAGGATTACCAGAAGAAGGCCCAGCAAAACTAAGAATCAGCTTACCATGGCCATCTCTGATAATGCCACCACATCCCATGATATTGTTGTCTGACTCGATACAGGCATTAAGTTTGAAAGAGCCCACCCTTGGTTTAAGCTATAACACCAGACGAGGATTAGAATAATTGGAAAATTGTTGGAGCTTGAGACTAAGGCCAATCAGAACATGGTAACATTGATAAAATCATTTCATGGAAATTAAATTAATAGAAGCCAAGCTAAATAATTTGTCTTTCATATTATGAATAACCCTGGAAGCCTCCATTTTAATGCAATTAAACACAACATTATTTCTTTCCAACCAAAGGTAACAAAGGATAAGAGAAGAGGTGACATTTCTAATATGGCCTTTATAATTCACAAACCAAACCTAAAGAAGCTCATAAATGGACATATTCCCCTTAAATTTATTAAACTTAAACATATCATCGAAGAAACACCAAGTTTTAATCGCAATTGGCCCAAACACAGACACATGATGCCTGCTTTCAACATGGAAACAGCATTGGCATTTAGAAGGAATGACAAAACCTCTTTTAGACAAAATGTCATCCGTAGGAATAAATCTGTTTAAAATTTTCCAAACAAAGGTAGACACCGTCGAGGGGATAATTTTATGCCAAATCCTAGAATAAATGTAATTAACCTCTTTTTTAATTCTAAAATTATGCCATGCATCTTTTAATCTAAAAAGACCATCATTAGCTATTTTAAATAAGATGACATCTTTAGAATGAAAGTTAATGGGAATAGAGAGGGTAACCCGAATAATGCAATTAGGGATCACCTCAACAAGCTTATTTAAATCCCAACCATTGTCGGTGATAAAGTGATTAACCTTAACATTCACATTGGAAGTGAAATTAATAAGAGAATTAATAAAAATAGAATTCATCCATTGATCCTACCAGAAAAAAATGTTACCACATCCAAGCCCCCAAGAAATAAGGGACTCCACCTCCCACTTAATCTTACACATCCTCTGCCAGAATTTAGAATCACCCTTATTAAAAAACTAATTAGAAAGATTCTTCTCACCACAATATTTAGAAAGCATGAACTTAGCCCATAAGGACAAATTAGCATGGAAACTGAACCATAATTTATAAGAGAATGCATGAGCCAGGTCACTCATAGTTTTACAACCAAGACCACCCTCTTTTAAAATACCACAACACTTATCCCAGGAGGCCCACGTAATTTTAGTGTTACTAGAAGCACCTTTCCAAAAGAACTTGTTCAGGATAATATCAATACAATTACACACCCATTTAGTGGGCAGCAAAGTTTGAAAGGAATAATAGGAAGAGAACAAAGCACACTTCTAATGAGAGTCAGCGTACCCCCAAAGCTAAAAAAATTAGACTCCTAGGACATGAGTTTATGATGAACCGAAACAATTAAATCATTAAACAAAAAAAGATTTTTTTCTACCCTTAAAGAAAGGGATACCAAGATACTTAATATGTAATTTCCCATGCACAAAACCAGTCAAATACTTATTAATCGATATACGGTTCCTCTTCATATTATTAGAGACAATAAAACAAATTTTTATGGTTATTTAAAGACAAATCACTAACAATGTAAAATCATGAAATAAATCCATATGTTTATTGAATTATTCTAACAAGCATTCATGAAAATGTCAAAATCATCCGCAAAACAAAGATGAGAAAGAGGGAAACCCCCCTTGGTCCTGAAAAACATGTTAGAATGAGAATCAAACATGCTAGCAATACTCCTAGAGAGATAATCAACAGCTATAATAAAAAAGCGCAGGGGACATAGGGTCACCTTGCCTTAAACCATGAGAAGACTTAAAAAAACAAGAACTTTTGCCATTAATTATCAAAGAAAAATAGGACCCCTCAATACAATTCTTAATAAGATTAATAAAATCTAAGTTAAAAATAAATAAGTTGTCAACTAATATTATCATAAGCTTTGGAAATGTCCATCTTGAGGATGGAATTTCCACCCCTCACCTTAACTTCCAAATCATGACAAACTTCTTGAGAAATCAAAATATTATCATAAATGGAGTAACCTTTAAAAAATCCCATCTGAAACTAAGAAATAATCTTAAGGAGAACATTAGATAACCGAGACATAAAAATTTTTGAAAGCAATTTATTGAAAAAAGTGCAAAGACTAATAGGTCTGAAATCAACCCAACAATTGGCATTATTCTTCTTAGGGATGAGATCAATAGTAGTAGAGGCAAAAATTTAGGCATAGGGTTACCAACAAAGAAATCCAAAATAGTAGCAAAGAGATCATCCTTAATGATTTCCCAAGCTTTTTGAAAAAATTTAGTAGTAAAACCATCAGGACTAGCCATAGAGTTACAATTCATATTAAAAACGGTAACTTTTAATTCCTCAAAAGAAGGGAGCTAGAAAGCATAACATTGTCCACCTCAGAAATAAGAGAAGGAATAATAGATGGGTTAATCAAATTGCAAGGATGAAAATCCTTATTAAGCCTATTTTTAAAGTGCTGAATGGCCAACATAGTAATTTCCTCACCTTTCTTAGTAATGGAACCATCATCACGGGCAATTTTTAAAATAGAATTAGAAGCACATTTTCGATTAACCAAAGCATGAAAATACTTAGTCTTACTATCACGCTCCACCAAAAGTTTAGTAGTAGCCTTTTGTTTCCAAAAAGTTTCTTGTTGAGCCTGAACATTAGAGAGAAAAGATTTAGCCTCTCTAAGAGAGGCAAAATTAGCCTCAGAAGGAAAATTCTGACAAGTTCTCTCTCTCTCATTAACCATCTATTCAGCATTTAAAATATTAGTAAAAATATTTTTGAAAACATTATGATTCCACCAATTTAAGACTTGCTTAAGCCATCTCAATTTAAACCACAGCCTTTTCATACCCCGAATAGAATTGTCAGGATGAAGACAAGCATTCCAATTCTCTTGAACAACACCTAAAAAGGAATCATGTTGAAGCCACATAATTTGAAAACAAAATTGATGAACAGCATTAACCTGTCTAGTATTAAGGACAAGAATTAAAGGGAAATGATCTGAAAGAGTACGACTAAGATGCTCAACATAAATATTGCTAAAAGAAGAAATCCACTTATCATTATATAAAATACAATCAAGTCTTTGCCAAAGTTGCCCTCTATTCCACGTAAATTGATTACCTGAGAAACCAATGTCAATGAGATTACAGTTAATAATCATATTATTAAAATCTTTCATAGAATAAGAGTTAGGAGAAGATCCCCCATAATGCTCAGAGGGATTGGAGATAGCATTAAAATTTCCCCCCACTAACCAAGGACAAAGATACGTATTGTGAAAATCAGATAATTTCTCCCACAAAACTTTCCTAATGCCACAAGAGGAAGCCGTATAAACAAAAGAAGCACTACACTTAACATTCAAAACATCAGTATGACAATGGAGCACTTGAGTAAAATTACCTAGAACATCAATATGAACCTGATCTTCCCAGAAAACCCAAATCTTATTAGCACAATTAGCCATAGAATGCTTAAAAATAAGAAATTTAGCAGTACAGAGTAAATTAGAAACATTAATAGGAGGTTCAAGCAAAACGAAAATAGAAACCTCATGAATACGACAAAGATTTTTAACCCGCATCCTAGAAGAGGCACACCCAATGCCCCTCACATTCAAAATGATTAATTTCAACATAATAAAATAATTAACGGCTAGTTTGAGACCTGGTATTTTTACCATATTTTAAAATAAGATTAGTAGGCCTGCTCGGTTGTAACAGAGGATTCTTACTCTTCCTACCACGTTTACCTTGACTTTTAACAATGTTAATATCTAAATCATCTTTATCAAAACATGTAGCAGCAAATTCAATATCCTTATTATCAGTAAAATTATCATAACACAATTGGGAAGTAGTAGGACACTTACAATTCGGGTTAAGATATATACCGATACCATTGTGAGGGAGCTCACCTTCCTCCAATGATTCTTCCGCATCCAACTCACAAATATGCAACCCAAGCTGGGCATTTTCTAGAACAATTAAATCCTTCTTAGTATATTCTCCATGGCTAATAGAAATAATCTGGAGATTAGAATGAGCATGATCCTGAATAGGAATAAAACATAAACCATCTCCAACATTGGCAGATAAAGTAGAATTTGAAGAGCAATTTAAAATGGGTAAAATAGGTTTAGTAGAAGTTAGAGAGGACTAGTCATTTACCCCTTGATTTTCCAATATTACATTGACAGTAAGAGAGGCATCTTCCTTACCGCTAATATTAACTTGTTTAGGAAGAGACACCTGAGCTGTTAGAGAAGCACAAATAAAGTGTCATTCAAAGTGTATAAAGAACCATTAAAAATAGGTAAGGGAGTATCTATAGATTTAGAACTAATTCCTTCATTTTAAACAAGATCCAGAATTTCATTACCATTGTGACCAACATGACACAAGTTTTCATTATCAGAAGGAGCTTCTGCGTTTTATTGAGAAGGTTTGGACACAGCATTACCTTTTCGGAGATGTGGATGAAGCCTATAACACTCATTAAAAGTGTGTCCATGCATCTATAGTGAGAGAAAAAAATAGGTAAATTTTCTAATTCTACCATTTGAAAATAGCCGTTATGTTCGTAACCTAACCAAACCTCTGATGGGTATTTCTTAGAAACATCCAATCCCATAAGCACATGAGCAACCAAGGGACGAGAGATAGATCTCGTGACTTGATCAGTTTGTAAGTGTTTTCCAAAAATCGACGCTAGACCAAACAAAAATTGCGTATTGAAAAAGTGCAATCGCAAGTTAGGGACGTCAATCCAAACTGGCACAATAGCAGATTCCTCTCGTACGTCAAAGTTAGGCATCCATTTGTTTTTTTTTTTTTTTTTTGAAAGAAATGTAAAGAAGCATTGAAAGAAAAGAAAAATAAAGACTATTACAATCTACTCAGACCAACCCTAAACCAACACATTCCTCCTTCAAGATGAACAAGAAGGAAGGAGGAATCTCCACATTATTAAGCTCATCCCAAATAAAACT